GTCGAGGGAAAGTGCTCTCGACCGAGAAATCTCATCCATGTGCGCACCTTGGCCAGCTTGGCCAAGACATGTGCACTCGGCCACGTGCACTCGGCCGAGAAATCTCAGCCACGTGTGCACCTTGCCAGTGCACTTGGCCGAGGCGAAGTGCACTCGACCGAGAAATCCCCGCCATGTGCACACCTCGCAATTGCACTTGGCCGAGGCAAAGTGCACTCGGCCGAGAAATCTCGGCCAGGTGCACACCTTGCCAGTGCACTTGGCCAATGCAAAGTGCACTCGGCTGATAAATCTCGGTCTTGAGCGCACCTTGGCCGAGAAAATGTTTGTAACTTTTTGTTCGAGCATCCGATCATGGCTAAACTTTTTATGATTTCACACAACTTTTTGAGCTCTACGCAGCAATGGCTTGTCGTGGACAGGGTTAGATCTACGAGATGAACATGAAGACAATATTGGCCATGAAGGCATGAGATTTGGATAGACCGGGACTTAGGAATAATAGAGGCACAGTGAGTCGGGACTTGGGCATATACGGGACACCGAGTTGATGTATCATCATATTGTTTCCCGTTGACTTGGGACTTGGGCATATTAAGTCGTGGATGGTGGCGTTTAAGCCTCGCTTGATGTTGGGAGGGTTTGAGGATGGGGAGGGACGAATCAGAGCAACATAGGGCTGAATCTTATTGGATCATGGCGGCAAGGCCACTCTGCTGCTTACAATACCCAGTTGAGTATTTAAGTCATCTGCAAAGAATTCTATCCGTTGCTCAGTGGGAATAGTACTTCAAGGCGGCACGTCAGACTCATCCGCCTGAGGGCTTGACCTACGACACGTGCCTTTTGGAGCCGGAGGGCTCCTACTGCTGGTCGACAATCGGGCAATGGACGCACGTGTCCCTGCAAACCCGTATTCTGACTTAGAGGCGTTCATTCATAATCTAGCGCACGGTAGCTTCACGCCACTGGCTTTTCAACCAAGCGCGATGACCAATTGTGCGAATCAACGGTTCCTCTTGTACTTTGTTGGATTACTGTCGCGATGCTGTCAACAGTAGGGTAAAACTAACCTGTCTCACGATGGTCTAAACCCAGCTCACATTCCCTATTGGTGGGTGAACAATCCAACACTTGGTGAATTCTGCTTCACAATGATAGGAAGAGCCGACATCGAAGGATCAAAAAGCAACGTCGAGCTTTTACCCTTTTGTGCCGCATAAGATTTCTGTTCTCGTTGAGCTCATCGTAGGACAGCTGCATTATCTTTTAACAGATGTGCTGCCCTAGCCAAACTCCCCACCTGACAATGTCTTCCGCCCGGATCGGCCCCCCGAACGGCCTTTGCTCCAAAAGGAGGGGCATCTCCCCACCTTCGATTCACGGAATAAGTAAAATAACGTTAAAAGTAGTGGTATTTCACTTGTGTCGAATATCCCACTCATTCTACACCTCTCAAGTCATTTCACAAAGTCGGACTAGAGTAAAGCTCAACAAGATCTTCTTTCCCCGCTGATTTCACCAAGCTCGTTCTCTTGGCTGTGGTTTCGCTGGATAGTAGATATGGACAGTGGGAATCTCGTTAATCCACTCATGCACATCACTAATTAGATGATGAGGCATTTGGCTACCTTAAGAGATTCATAGTTACTCCTGCCATTTACCTGCTGGAAGAAGGAACAAGCCGGCCGGTGCACAGTGAAAGGCGGACCGGTCGACCCAACCCAAGGTCCAACTATGAGCTTTTTAACTACAACAACTTACGCTATTGGAGCTGGAATTACCTCGACTGCTAGCACCTGACTTGCCCTCCAATGGGTACTCGTTAAGGGGTTTAGATTGTACTCATTCCAATTACCAGACTCAAAGAGCCCGATATTGTTTTTTATTGTCACTACCTCCCCATGTCAGGATTGGGTAATTTGCACGCCTGCTGCCTTCCTTGGATGTGGTAGCCGTTTCTCAGAATCCCTCTCCAGAATCAAACCCTAACTCTCTGTCACCCGTCACCACCATGGTAGGCCTCTATCCTACCATCGAAAGTCGATAGGGCAGAAATTTGAATGGTGCATCGCCGGCACGAAGGCCGTGCGATCCGTCGAGTTATCATGAATAATCAAAATTACGGGCAGAGCCCGCGTTGAACTTTTATACAATAAATGCACCCCTTCCAGAAGTCGGAGTTTGTTGCACGTATTAGCTTTAGAATTAATACGGTTATGCGAGTAGCAGGTACCATCAAACAAACTATAACTCATTTAATGAGCCATTAGCAGTTTCACAGTCTGAATTAGTTCATAGTTACACATGCATGACTTAATCTTTGAGACAAGCATATTACTACTGGCAGGATCAACCAGGTAGCATTCCCTCTTTCGACACTCCAACTCTAACTGACCAACCCATCCAAGCAAAAGTAATGAAACGAGCAGGTCAATTCGAGGCTGTTGCGGTCGTTCAAAAAGGATTCTTAGGTTCAGGCCAATATTGGGGAGATGTGAAATCCCCCATGGCCACATCACATTCCGCAACCTAGAGCACAACAACACACGAGGGCCAAATCTACCACTTACAGTGAGAGCTTGGAACACAAGCGACACTACGGATTCCACCACGATCCCGAAGAGAGCACACAGTGAAAATTAATGGCCAACTTCAAACTTCCCCTTAATGGGTATGCAACAGAGGAACCTGATCACCACCCCTCATATACACTTGGTCCCTCGCTTTCTTCAGACAAGTCATCTTCAGGAACACATTCAGCCACCAACACAGGCTCTTCACAAGCTATCCTTTGTTCACACTGATAAATGGCCAACTTCTCCATCTAGGTCGTGACTTCGGCCTCCCTCAACAACTTATCCTGCGGTGACTTACTCATCATCATCTTTTGCTTCAGTCTTAAGTGGACCATCAAGAGATATCATAGATGGTCTCACTATCTTTGATAGTACATTGATGCAAGCTTTGCTCAACACTTTGGCACTTGAGAGTGCCACGGTACAATACCTACCATCCATACTTTTAACTTGCAATGGGCCAACGTCTCCATGGTATAGTGGAGCTTCGGCCATGTTGGCTCCCACGGCATAAGGCTTGGTTTCTGCTTGTACTACTTTGACCACACCTTCTTCATTCCAGAACATCAAACATTTATGAAGCTAATTGGACACACTTGTTGGCGTGGATCCATTCCCTTCCCAACAAAGCATTGTAACTAATTACCCTATCGACAACCCATTCTCACTATAACTGGAAAAATTCCTCTTGTGGATGTTGAGCCTCTATTGAAACTTGTCATGAAGATCTCAGTAGGAATCAAGTGACTTGTTGACTCATTCCTACTGTCACTCTAGAAAATGGCCAAGTGTAACCACTTCCTAAAGCGTAGTATAGCGGGTTTGGGTTTTATTGTCAACCTGGGTCCTAGATGTGATGACTACTCGGTGAATTCTCGTTATCTAGCAGTGAACTTTTAGTGCAGATTCAAACAAACAAAAACACAAGGCAAGTAAACGGTTGTTGTCAAGTCAAGAGAGGTCACCCGGATATGGTTCCCCCTAGACTGCAGTTAAGTCGGATTGCAATTTACCAAGTTCAGTTTTCATGAAAGTTATACTGCGGAAGGTTCTTAATTAGCCTGAAGTCTCGACTAAAGGTCTCCAGACCCCCTCAATCTGAGTCTCTAGCGGGCGACTAACCTCCACCGGAATAAACAGATTGAGGCCCTAACGAACCAAACCTCCACTACCGAATTGAATTCGGTACAGAATAGCGAATTGGCTCCTCGACTAAAGTCACCAATTCGCCACCTTCGATTAAGGGTACTCTATCAACCTATGCAGATATTCTCATTCTAGGTCAAAGCAGAAACAACAGGAATTTGATCAGGATTCAAGTCATTCAATCATTCAAACCTCAATCGAATATAATCAATTCACAAACTCTGTACTTGGGTTCATACAATCAGACCTAGCATACAAATCTAGGGTTCCCCATACCCAGATGAATGGGGAAATTACTCCATAGAGAAAGAAGCAAAAGCAGATTCAGACGCGGAAATCATACTGTGAAGATGAATTTCTGCCCCTGGACGTTTAATCGCACTTCTCCAAGCTCAAGTCGGGCTCCAAGGGTGATGAAGATCGAGCTATGGCACTTGGGAACTCTGGTTCGTCGCTTTCTCTCTCTAGGGATCGCTTTCTCTCTCAAAAACTCGGACCCCTTCAATGTTGGCCTTCTTCCTTTTATCAGCTGCCTGGTCGCGATACCCGGTCGAAATACCCGGTCGGGTATTCTGGGGTTCGACCGGGTATTATCCAAAACGCGCGCATCAACAAAGAGAAAATCCCCGGTCTGCCTCTGTAATCCCCGACCGGGGATTTTGGCATTCTGCCCGAGCCCCTCTCTGGTTCTCGGGCGCCCAAAATAGTGAATACCCGGTCGGGTATTTGGCCACCTGACCGGGTATTTTCCTCATGCGGCTCACTTTGTCCCAACTTCGCTCCTTTTGACCCAGAACTCGTTTCTCCGCCTCGATTCCAACGCTGGGTCCTGAAATATGACATAAACACACAACCTAGCGTGAAATCGGCTTAAAACACTAGAATCCACATCTCAAACGGCTTCAGAAAAGGGGTGAAAACATGTGTAAATATCGGTCTATCACTTGTTCTCTTTCCAAGTTTTCTTAACATACAAGTTGGCATCATGTTGGCAACAACTCTGTTGTCAACCAATATTCTTGACATGGGCACACCATCAAGACTGACCTTGATGTAAAGGGGTCTTAAATGCCTTAGCATACTCGGATTAGGCTCTTTGAACATCACCTAGTGACTAGACTCGTCATTTGTAGTTTCTTTCATAACTTGTTTTCCCTTGGAGGTGGCTACATACATGACGACCTCTTCTCTTGTTGTGCTTTCATCGTTTGCCAGTGAATTCTCTATCTCATCATCAAACTCTTATCCCCATGAAGGATTCTTGATAGCTAACGATTATGTTGCTTCAGGACCCTGGTACAATGCATAGAATGGGTATCTACCATCATCCTCTCCAAGAAAACCAACGTTCCTATGGCCTACTTCGTGGAGATCCTTCAAAATTTGTTGGGAACTCTGGCCTTGCCTTGCCGTCTCAACGGCTAGATCTATCCTGCTTCCCAAATGAGCCATCCTCACACTCCATGTTTCATTATTAGCTTCGAGATGGGCGAATGCCTCAGTCAGCTCAGCAACTGATCCATCTTCGTCACTTGCTTCTTCTACGTCTTCACCCTCTATATATCCATCATGATCTTTTTCATTGAATTGAAATACCATGGGTAGTATGTAGTTGGTAACCGGGACTGGTGGCGAGTTCTCAAATTGGATGATCGTGGCAGGACCCTGACCATCCTCCTAGTCATCCTTTTTACCCCTATTGAACTTGGATTTGGGAAGATCATCTTCAATCATATCATCTTCAGCATATTCGTCTTTATTTTCCTTCTCCTTCTTGGAAGTTGTCAACAACTTCCCGAACATTGACATCACTCTGAACTTGGACCTGCTTGCCTTTGTCGGTCATGTTCACTTTAGCCCTATGGTCATGGAGTTGTCCACCTTGAGATTTGTTTGAAGACTACCTTCTCTCCTCCATTGTATCACACCCATTATGTTGCCATGAGCCATAAGTAGTTGACCTTGAGGTGCTTGAGCATTTTTGGGAAGGAACCTTCTTCTTTGGGTCATTGTCATCTAAGCCACGACTACTGGTTTTTTACAATGAACATCATATGTATGCCATCCACCATGTTGCACATTTGGCATCTTGAATGTTCTCTTCGTTTGAAAAGGGGCATAAGCCACCCACTACCTTGGTTTCCCACAAGTTGGCTGCCTCACTCCCTCAACATGTCTTTGATATGGCGGGTACCTTGGCCTTTGCCTATTGGGAAGACCAATTTTTTGGTGAATTAATGGCCTCAACTTCTCCTCGTCGAGTTTAAGACTCTTCTTGCACTGATCACACAAATTCTAAACTTCATCGGTCATCATTGCGGCTAGGATGGCCTGATTGGTACCTAATGAGCTCCTTTTTTCGAAAACCACATAAGGGATCCTTCGAGGCGGCGTGGTATCCAACACCAGCTTGAAATGTGGCAACTCGAACTTGGAGAAGTCTGGGTTGACCATGTTGACGCCAAGCACCTTGGGGAATGGATCAGTGTCCACCAACATGGCATCTTTCTTTGCCTCAGGGAACTTAATGCGTCCCTTTTCAATGGCATCTTGCAATACATTACGGAACACAACACTAAGCATCAGTGGCATGTGACATGCTATTATGCCACTTACAATACTTCTTTCCTTTTAAATTTTCGGTTGAGGGAAAGACATGCCCCCTATTGACTTGATTTGACCATCCTTATAGAGTTGGTCAAAAATCAAGTCTGCCTCCGAGACATCCAAGGAGTACTTCCTTGGCTGAATGGGCGCACAATTGGGTCTTCCCCCTTGCGGCCCATCTTCAACTTTAGACAAAGAAGCACACACGTATGGCTTCCCTAGAGTTATCTCAGCCAATTCTACCTCAACCTCATTGGCCTCGTGTCCAACATGATTGATAGTATAGTCTAAGTTTGGGAAATACGATCCCCTTGAGGCACTACTATGATTCCCTTCCTCATGTAGAAGAGACTCATACCTCACGGCACAAGACATGAGCTGGAAAAAGTCAGAGAAATCTCTATCTTTAAATTTCTTCCTTAGTTCAAAACTCGAAACCCCCTTGTGCCATTACGAACTCCCTCTCTGTCAAATTTACAAAGCAACTTTTATGGGTATTCTTGAAGTTAGTCAAGAAATGCTCCACCGATTCCCCTGGCTATTGACGCATACATGCCAAGTCATCCATGGACACCTTGGGCTCAGATATATAAAATTGAGAGTGGAAGACTTGCTCCATCTATTGCCAAGTCTGGATGGAGTTAGACGACAAGTTGAAGTACCAAGCAAAGACTGGCCCTATCAACGAGTTGCCGAACAATCTTAACTTAACAAAATCTTCTACATTGCCACATTGGATAGTAAAGCATCCAAAGTGCTCTACGGTGGACTGGTCTCCAGTCCCTGTGAATGTGGCAAACTTGGGAACCCTGAATACCCTTGGGAACAAGTGAAGCCTATCTACCCATTCAGGATATGGCTTCTGTTATACAAGTGGCATGGCAGGTCATACTCCCATGTCAAACTGCTCCTTGAGGAGTGTTGGCATCATGCCCCCTTGTTTCCTCCATATAGAATGAACCCAATGGGATCCATGCCATGCCCATTAAAATTGGGTGCCATTGGGATTGGGTAGCCTCGTGGTGGGACTTGATCCATGTTACCACCTTGTCCTCCTCCCATCCCCAAATTCATGGGGAGCCACATAGGGTCTTGCCTCCAGGATAGAGGGTAGAGCACCCACTTGCCCCGATGTTTGCTCAACATGAGTGTTGAACATGGTGGCGAGGTTATCACCACGAGGGTGTACCACTTCAAATCTCACACGTACATGTGAAGACTCCCCCAATTGAGCAGTAGTGGGAATCTCAACATAATCTACTTGACGTGGAGGTAGTTGGCTTGCAATCTGAGGCGGCAAGTTCTTTTTCCATGGTTGGCCATTCCTACCACCGGCGGGAGAAAGAACATTATTAGTAGGAGTTGGGCTTGTGCCATCTAATGGAAAAACTCTTGACTGCACTACTGGTCTACTTAGAGACTATCAGAATAGATCCAACTCATTCGTATTTTTGTTAACTACTTCAAGAAATTGACTCAAACGTCTATCGCGAGAATTGAGATAGTAAATTTGAGAATTTACATGATGAGTACCAACCCTAGCCTCTTCCATCATACGACGGTTCTCCATCAGCATTTGGCGGTTCTCCTCTGTGGCTTGACATTTTTCTGCCACCATCTTGCGTTTCTCCACCATTATCTGACGAATGGCCTCCTACTACCTCACTCAACTACCATGGTCGCCACCAAGATCTCGCTCCACCATTTCCTCCAGTCACCGCCTCTTATGCTTGGCCACATTCAATGTTGGCCATCTGCTCCTCCACAAAGTCAGGCGTCACCTTCTTGATTCCTCCCCCTCATATCCATATCGACCATAAGTGTCTCATTAGGTGTGCCAAAAAAAATTCCTGCAAGAAAACTTGCGTTGAAATCAAATTGATTGCACATTCACTTCTTTGGTAGCTTAACATAGTTCACACCTCTTCAAACAAAGTTCGAACGAGGGTGTTTGATATTTAATTATTACATGGCTCACGAGACATAAATCAACATTAAATTACCCTACTCCTATGGAGGTACTGTGAGAGCTCCAGATCTACGACTATGGCTAAAATTTGCAGGGGAAAGATAAAATGATAAAAACTTGACAAGTGGTATCGAGTAGTGATTTTTGCAAACCCTTTCTCTCTCAACTCCTCCTCCTATTTATAGCCTTGAAGTGGTAACTATCGTAGAAAAACCTTTTAGAGAGTAAATCTCCTTTGGAGAGTAACTTCCAAAAAGAATTGTTCTCTTCTTCCTCGGATGTGTCTTCAGACGTGAGATGAGTGTAGTTTCTCCCTCAACTGCGTAGGCGTCTCTCTCTTGTTGGGGCTGAAGTCTTGGTGATTGCCTCCTCTACACCATGACCAGGTCTGTTAGATATCATGACTGAGGAAATCTAGATCTCGGGACCAACGAGGTCAACCAAACTCCACGCGAGAATGCCCACTCACGAACATCATGGCCTGATCTCTTCCTCGAGACTGATGCTCTAGATCTAGATTTTGAAACCAACACAGTCTAGATCAATCGAGACGAGGGATGTCTATATCTCACCACCAACGAGGAACTTAACTCCTTCGTGACCAACCACTCTCAGACTTAGTATATTTTGTGGCTTCCTTCTCATGTCCAACTTATAGGTTTAGATCTCGATCGTGGTCTAGATCTCATGACGAAAGTTGTCTAGATCTCCTTACCAATGTGGTCTAGTGGACTCACGACGAACGTGATCTAGCAGACTCGCGACAACCGACATCTACCAAACTCGCGAAGAATAGTAGACTCGTCACGAACGTGTTCTAGCATACTTAGCTTCCCCACGCTGAAAATAGTGCCCTCTTAGAGACTTTGCCATTTGGGCTTCAAAATCTAGTACGATAAGGCCAAGTTTAATTAACATAGCTTGTTATTATTGATCTGGCCTTATAAAGGTATTAAATACCTTATGAATAATCAATTTGGTACAAGATTATTTTTAGGTGTAAACAGAGGGAAATCACTAAGGTAGGTTGTTGCTTTGGTTGAATCCTTCTAGTCATAGGTTAATGTGACCAAAGTACGCAGCCTTCCTTCTCTTTATGGAATTTTTGAAGCTTCTGTCCAACTTTAACGAAACTCGAATAAAAGATAAAGATGGAACACGATCGAACAGATTCCACTCGTGAGAAAGGCCAATTGGTGTACAAACTAATCAGACGATCTCCAACTCGTGAATGAGACCAATCGCTATTTGGTAGAAGCTCACCACAACTAGACATGCTCTCTAGTTGATAAGGGACACATGAAACTCCTGGAGACTCTCGACAAAAGCTTGCACAAAGAAACTCGTTAGTATTGAACTCGAAACTTGAAAGTTTATTGATTGAAAAGTTGATGAATTACAATGGGGAATTGAGCCCCTATTTATAGACTTTCTAACACTAATCCAAAGATTAAAAGGAAAACAAACAAAAGAACAAATCCTACACTCAAAAGGAAACACAAATCCTTAACAAACAAGTAAAGACCAAGTCAACACACTACATAGAATCTAGCCTTCAAATCTGCCCATAAACTTGCATTCACAACTTGATCGTTTTCACACCTAGGGATCCTCTTGTCTTCTTTGACTGAATCATCTCCTCCTTCCAAGCCCATTCTTCCTCCATTCTGGTTCACGAGTTGTAGCAATGTAATGGGCTTCTCACGATGTTGATCCACGTCCATTTGAGCATCGTAACGATCCAAATAAGCAGTAAATTCTTCCCTTAACCTCTTTGCTTGTAATCGTGTAATTGGACCTTCTTGTGACGATATGGACTTGGTTTTGATGACCTCATAAGTCCCTCCCTCTTGAAAAGGATTTGGCCTCAAATTCGAGTTGTCCTCCAAATATGGTGCAAGATCAGTAACGTTGAAGGTTGCATTTATCCCATACTCTCCTGGCAAATCAATTTTGTAGGTATTGCTCCCAACCTTTGAGATCACTTGGAAGGGACCTTTACTTCGAGGTAAAAACTTGGATC